CTCCATAGATTGTCAGGATCCGGCCAGCTCCCGGAAGATTATTCACTATTTTTTTGGGAAGAGGTGGGCCGTAGAAGGTTTATTTCTTTTTTTCTGTTATGCGCCGTTGTCCACTTGTTGTATTCTTTTTGTCGTTTCTTTTGACCACGGCATGTTCCTGCATTGTTGATTGTTAGACGATCCCTTTGCCTCGAGCGGTGGGGTGAGTGGCGCGTCCGTTGGCGGATCCGGTATGAGTGACTCTCTTATCTTTTACATCTTATTTTCGCTATTTTTTTTATTTGGCAACCTCCCCGACGTGTGTTCGCAGGCGTTGGGCAGCCTGAAGGACGACGAGGCGAGGGAAAGAAATACCGACTAGCAAAGAAAAATCCACTTAAAAAAAAATATATTTACTTCTGTGGTCTCGGAGATGAAGTTGCCGCTGCGCCAATTTGACGGTCTTTTTTCGCCCTTGGCTGTTATTTCCCTGCTGGATACACGCACGGCCAGCAAGCGCGTGTGCAATAAAGCCACCGAGGGATCCCGAACCCTCTGACTCACCCGCGCGAGTTTACCGGATCACTTTTTTTTTTTTTTTTTTTTATGGGTGGGCGAACGCAGGAGGTTATACGTCAAATACAAAAGAAAAGGTGACATCCGTTTAAAACAACAACAAGAAAGAACGAAAGGAAAAGGAAAAATACTTGGCAGGCGGCAGATGGCGACCATCCAGAAGCTTGCGGAGCGGCTTGAGTCCGACGTACCGCTGCGGGTGGATGAGATGACGTTTTGGTCCCGGGAGAGTGAAATCGGCCGCGCACAAGTCTTTTACGGCCCCAGCCTGGAGGAGGCGAAGCGGTGCGCACAACGCATCTCAGACAAACTGGTCACGAAGTACCTGAACAACCCCAACACGAATGAGGTGCCACTGGATCACAAGTCGCGTGTGTGTCTCATCCTGAATAACCTTGCTCTTCACAAGCCCATCCGGGGCTGCATCTTTGACGTATTGGACAAGCTGGAGGGCATTTTTGAGGAATCGATAAAGGAGGATGGAACGTTGCCGTTTAATCCCGATCTGGGACGCATGACGGAGCATGTAGCCGTGCTTCTCATGCGTGTGACCGGATACAAGCTGAAGGCTGTGAATGTGCTTGAGTTTACGGACGGGAACGCACAATTTTCTGTGCAGCTTATGCTCGCTATATTGCTGAAAGAACCTGCGTACGAATTTGGACTTCGAGGTAATTGCATAACCATCATTCTTGGCTTCACGCAACCTCAGGCTTTTTTTGATTCCTCAAAAGGAGTAGAGGAGGCCTCTTGCCTTTTATTTACGGAGAAGGTCGACTCCCTGTTGGCCTTAATGCTTCGACTGAGAGCCGTTCAAGTCATCAGTGATGTCTTGACCGAGCAACTGGACAGTACGAACGTGATGACTCCACTGCTCCATGTGGCGACATGCAGTGTCATGCGTTGTGTCATGAATATATTCCGTTTTTCATCCACAAAGTCAACGCAGTGGCGACAACACATTCTACTTTCCACCACCTTACTGGATCATTCTGTGACGTTGTACCTTCTCATGCAGTGCGAGGCCTTGCAAAAGAGTTTGGAGGGAGCGAGCCCGGATCTTAGCGTTGAAATGCTACGCGGAATGTCACTAGGATTTAAATTTGCTTCTTTGTGCACCTTTCGTATGCACCGCCATGCTAGAAGGGTGCGTCTGTTCTGTCCTTACCTGCATGACATGTTACAGTTTTCAATTCGCCACGTGAGACAGGATAACCCGGCGTCTGGTGTTCTCATGCGCCTGTATGTGGATATGTTCCACCTCATGGCCAACATAGATGCTCTTGGCGGGGAGAAAGATCTCTCCATTGAGGAAATCCCTCAACAATTGCTGAGCGAGGCCCTCTTGAAAACAACCGAGGCTTTCTTGCAGCGGGAGATTGCCCCGGGCGGGCTGGCATGGGCGCGGGCGTGGCACACTGCTCTGAAGACAGTGGAGGCGGACACACTTGTCGACCGCAGCACCCACACTTTTACCACACTGGAGAAGCTCTTTGGCGATTTGGAGGCACGCGTGTCGGCGCACCAGCCGCTGCCGTCTCCCGCCCCTGTTGCTGCGGGAGGAAGGCATCGCATCCTGGGCGAGATGCCCCCGCTACGTTCAAAGACAGCCGAAGTGAAGGTGCCCGTTGAAAGTGCCGCGGCCCCAGTGGACATGAAACAGTACATAGAGGTGGTTCGGAAGGACGTCATTGAAGGTGTCGATCCCATCCTGCTGTGCGCCCTCACCGGCAATGTGATGAAGAGACCTGTTGTTTCGCCGTATGGCCAAACGTTCGAGCAGGAGGCGATACTCGCGTGGCTCGAGCAGAACGGCTCCGTGTGCCCCATCACAGGGAAAACGCTGACGGCGGATTCACTGAGGCCCAACAAGGAGGTGGCGGCGCTCATCATGAAGCGGGTGATCCAACAGAGCATGAGCACATACAATCAGGAAAACGAGGCCGATCTCTACGACTTTTAGTGGACAGGAGTCAACATTTGCATTTGTGGGAAGTGGGAGAAAACAAGGCAAAACACACACACACACACACAAAAAGGTGTGAAAATATTAGGATTTGCATATACATATACATATATAGATGAAGGAAGGAAGTAAATTTCCGCGACAGGCCAAGTATGCTCCGTAATAAAGCACGAAATCAGTGGAACCAATCAACTATAAAAAAGGAAAAGCAAAGAAGAAGTTGGAATCAAAAGTATGAGAATTAACGCGGGGTTATTTGAGGCCTTGTCGCCATTAAAGGTTTAACAGTAACGGCATGGTGCCAGGAAAGGGGAAGAAAGAACAGAGAAGTAAAAGAAAGGGGCGGGATTCTTTATTGCTCTGGCGCGGCGGGAGGAGGACGTGTGTGTGTTTGTGTGTGTGGCGGATAGAAGATTTAGCGCAAGTGAGGGAGTGGGTGAGTAAGGAATCAGGACGCAAAATGCGGGAATGAGCTTTATGCATGTAGAGAGCCGAAGCAACAGAAGAAAAAAAGAGAATATTATTATTATTATTAATGATGGTCGGGGTGACTTTTCTGTATCCTTCCAAACGAGGCAAGGAGCACAAAAGGAAACGAAGATAAGAGAAGAAGTGTGGGAGAGGGAGAGAGAGAGAAGTCAAGCTGCAGGGCGGGAGCAGAAGTAAAAAGGGGAATACGCGCCTCTGAGTGTGTGGGGGTGGGCATAAAACACTGCGGATGACACTGGAGGGTCTTTTTCCTTTTCTGGTGCCCACACCCGCGCTTCTCATGTTTACTCCGAAGTAATTTTTTGCCCACTTTATATATATTTTTTGTTTCTTGTTTTTCTCTTGACTTTTTTATTTATTTTTACTTCTTTTCTCTGCATTTCTTCCAATGCATCTTGTGGGCGTTTGTTTGACCCATTGTTTTTGTCATTCCTTTCAAAAAATTATATATATATATATATATATATTTAGCCTCTCTATGCCTCGTAACAGGGATGCATCCACAATTGATGCGGACAGAGAACTCGGGGCATCTTCGTAGGGGTTTATCACCCCTACGGCCCGCGTGTATAGTAATTACATTATACATACATGTGTATGTGTATGTGTTGTATTTGTTTTCTATGAGGTGCGTTGTAAATTTGTTGCTTTGACTTTTCTTAACAAAAAAAAAGTTTTTTTTTTTTTTTTTCCTTTTTCTTCTTCTTCTTTTGTCACCCAGTTGGTACTGTTGTCGTGATCGTCCTTCTTTATTTCTTTCCTTTTTTTTTTTTTTGCGTGTGCGGGTCTGTTCGCTCGCTCTCCCTCTCTTTTTGTGGCTGGCGGGGGGTAGTTTGTGTGCGTTTGTGTGTGCTTGACTGAGTAGCGTGGGGGAGTGTCCGGTGCTGCTTTGGACTCACACATGTCGGCTGTTCCGGGTGGGGGCGGCAGGAGCGGCGGCCATGCGGAAGATGGCGATGGGGGATTTGGGGGAAACCCGAAAGATCACGTGAGGGCGGCGGCCGAAATGTCATCGTGGATGAGGAATGCCGTGGACGAGGCGCGGCGGGACCCGTCGAAGGAGGTGGGGATCTCCGCGGAGGAGCTGCAGCAGCGTCGCAAAATGGCGTCAAACCCACGCGCGTTTGTGAGCGAGCAGACGAGCCGGGCATTTGAGGTCAAAAGTTCGGCGCGGGCGCAGCAGATCATGAACAAGGGTCTCCTTGACCGGCAGAGGGAGACGCGGAACAAAGAGGTGCTGAAGAAGATGACGATTCTGCGCCGTATACAGGTGGGGACGTTTTTCCTTGGCATTGGCGTGGCGTGGTGGATGGGCGTTGAGTACTTGCTGCCGCACTACGCCGCCGTGCAGGAGCGGAACCGTCTTCTGCAGCTGCGGTGCGAGATGGCGCAGCGGAAGCGGGAGGAGGTGGAGGCACAGAGGAGACAACAACAGTAGTGGCGGTAAAGCGTTGAAAGACGGAGGGGTGCCCTCGCGGCCTCCATTCTGTCGGCGAAGAGGCAAGTTTTTTCTTTTTCTCTCTTTCTCTCTGTCTGTGGCTTCATTCCCCGCACGTATTTCGCCGTGCCGACTGCTTGCAGCTGAGAAACCTAAAAGAAAATTTTCTTTTTCTTTTTTACGTTCTTTTCTTGTTTGCCCACCCCCCGCATCTCTCTGCCCGCTGCCTTCTCTCTTCATTGCAATGTGACGCCACCAGAGTGAGCGACTGTGGCAAGTCATCAGCGTCATTTCGGTGTCGACAGGGGGACGGCAGGTGGGCCAAAGCTAGGAGAAAAAAACAAACAAAAACAAACAAACAAACAAACACCAAAAAAAAAACACGAACACAACAAGGCAAGGGACCGAAGGGGGCGAGGAGGCAATTTATCTGTCCGACTGCCCACTGTTATTTGTTACGCTCAAGCGTAAGAGTAAAGTCAATAACAACAATAAAATCGGGACCAAAAACAACAACAATAACAAAAACACAGTAACGCAATAACAAAAGTGATGGCACGCCACCCCATTATTCAGGCGATACTTATCGCACTTATTGTGCTGGGCGTTGCGGTGACTGGGGTCACGGTGAAGGATGATGGGAGCGTGGAGAAGGGGAGGCCAATCTCATTCCAGGCTGAGGTGAGCAAGATGCTTGACATTCTTATTAATTCTTTATATACGAACCGCGCTGTCTTTCTGCGCGAGTTGATTTCTAACGGCAGCGACGCCCTCGATAAGATCCGTATGCTCTACCTCACGGCGCCGAAGGAGCCGAAGAACAAAGACGGCGAGGTGCCGGCGTTGGAAATGCGGGTGATAATTGACAATGAGCGCAAGACTCTCACTTTGCGGGACGGCGGCATTGGTATGACGAAGGCGGAGCTGGAGGAGCACCTCGGCTCCCTTGGCACCTCCGGCACGAAGCGGTTCATGGAGAAGCTGAAGGAAACGAAGGATGATAGTCTCATTGGACAGTTTGGTGTTGGCTTCTACTCCGCCTTCCTCGTTGCCGACCGCGTGCGGGTGGCTTCGAAGAGCGATGACAGTGACGTGCAGTGGGTGTGGGAGTCTGCTGGCGACGGGCAATATTACATATACGAGGACGAACGTGGCAACACGCTTGGCCGCGGGACGGAGATCACACTTGAGATGAAGCCCGACGCATTGGAATTTCTTAGCACGGATAACGTGAGGGATATTGTGCACCAATACAGCGAGTTTGTACACTTCCCCATCTACATGCAGAAGGGAGAGAAGTGGGAGGTGGTGAATGAGAACAAGCCCATCTGGACACGCAAGCCATCCGAGGTGACGGAGGAGGAGTACCACAAATTCTACAAGTCCCTCACCCACGACTACCGAAACCCGATGTATTACTCGCACTTCAATGTTGAGGGCGAGGTAGAGTTCAGTTCTGTACTTTTCATCCCACAAGAGGCATCGCAAGACATATTCGTTAATAACGAGGACACACGCGACAATATCAAGTTGTACGTACGACGTATTTTTATCACTGACGAGTTCCGACAGCTTCTCCCGCGTTACCTCAGCTTTGTAAGGGGCATTGTTGACAGCAACGATCTCCCTCTCAACGTCTCCCGCGAGGTGCTACAGGAGAGCCGAATTCTCCGTGTCATCAAGAAGAAACTTGTGCGCAAGGCTCTGTCCATGATTTCCGAGATTGCGGAGAAGGACGCCCGCCTCAAGGAGGGCCTGGAGAAGGAAAAATCAGGGGAAGATGGTGAAGCGAAGGATGAGAACACAACGGAGAAGAAATCAGATGACGATAAAGGCAAGGAGCCCTTGTATCCAAAGTTCTGGGCTCAGTTTGGCAAACATATCCGTCTCGGCATTCTCGAGGATGCCAACAACCGCGGCCGCCTCGCGAAGCTGCTGCGTTACACATCCACAAAGAGTAACGGCACCCTTGTTAGCCTGCAGGAGTACACAGACCGCATGAAGCCAGAACAGAAGCACATTTACTTCCTCACAGGTGACTCGGTTAAGAAGATGAGGCAGTCGCCGCACATTGAAGAGGCGCTGGAGCGTGACGTGGAGGTTCTTTTCATGACGGATGCTATTGATGAGTACGTCGTCTCTCAGGTGCAAGACTTCGGCAACAAACGGCTTATTAACCTCGCAAAAGACAACGCGCGCCTTGACGAGCCGACGGAGAGGGACAAGGCCATTGAAAAGGAGCGCAAGAAGAAATATGAGCCCCTCACCGAACGCCTTTTGACTCTGTTTGGAAAAAGCCAAGTGCGGAAGGTCATTCTGACAAGACGACAGAGCTCGGAGGCTTTTATTTTGTCTACGCAGGAGAACGACATGACACCTCGCATGGTGAACGTCATGAATCAACAGGCAATCTCTTCCCTCCACACGATGCGATACTCCCGCGTGCTGGAACTTAACCACCGCCATCCACTTGTGCGGGATCTTCTGACACGATTTGAGGCGGACGCAAACGACCAGACTGCCATTGACGTGGCATGGGTCCTTTTCGGCACGGCCAACCTGCAGGCGGGATTCCCCGTCTCGAATCAGGCCATGTACGCTAAGCGCGTGAACCGTCTGCTGAGGGGCCGCGTGGGTCTTGCGGCTGATGACACGATCTTGCCCCCAGACGACGACGAGTACGACATTTCAGACGTCAAACCCGACACCACTGGCACCGACGAAGGACTGCTGCTTCCGGTGGACAACGACGGGGATGAATCGTCTGACAAGGAAGACGCGGAGCCAACCGCGGCAGAAATGAAACCAACAAAAACGGAGGATGACGCGGGTGATCTGTAAGGTTTGCACCTCCCCACAGGGGACGAGGATGCCTATTGAGCTTTTTTTTTTTTTGGCCATTATTTTATAGATACGCTGCTTTTTCAATATTACCGGCGGATAATGAAAAAGGCATGAAGACCGAGGTAGGGAAGGGAGGAGTAAAACGCGACAAAAACAGAGACACACCCATGCACCTGAGGGAGAGGAAGACGAAAGGGAGGGAAAAACGACTTTTGACGTGGTGCAGTTTGTATGTTTTATGTGCGCCACATTTGTTGGATTTGCAAACGAAGTCACATCGGGATGTCTTTTTCTTTTCTTTTTTGGTTCTCCTTTTTTTTTTTTTTTTTTTGAGGCAACAGACCGACTGCAACTACGGTGGTGATGGTGGCGGGGCTCTTTCCTTCCATTTTTTGCCTTTTCTTTACTTTTCCTCAATGCCCTTTCTCTTGTTATTTTTCAGACCGTTGTTTTTTGGCAACGACCTCCTTTTATTTCTCTTTTCCACTGCGTGCGATGAGGGGTGCCTTTGTTGAGCTCTCATTCACGGTGTGCGGCGCCGCGGGGAGGCGACGAGGCAAAAACGTCTTTCTTTTTTTGATATTATTTAACTTGAAGTGAGTTTTTTTTTTTTCTTGACACTGCAGCGAACGCGTGTAGGGAAGTGGTCGGGCAGCATCACATACGCTCTCAGTTGCACACTACTGGACGCGTGGAAGAACAGGGTTAGGGGTTAGGGGCGATGGCGACAACGAAGAAAGATGCCGCGCTGCCACGGAAGCTGAAGGGCTCCGTGGGCACCCTCCAGCAAGCACTGGACAACGGCCTGGACCATTTTTTTTCATCGCGCAAGGCGGGCGAGGAAACGTCACGTCAGTGCCTCTCTTCCCTCTTCGTCCTTGCATCGTCGCTGCATACGCCACGGCTGCCTTACTACAAAAAGTCACTGGAAACAAGTGCGGCGCGGCATGTGACGGTGGAGCAGATATGGGGACAGCTGAGCATGTTACTGCGTCCCGTTTTGCGTCGCCTACAGGACAACGTGCGACGTCTGCAGAAGACAGTGAATGCTTCCTCTGCATCACAGAAACGCGGCAGCACGCGAGTACAAACGAAGCGGCCACGAGACGATGTTAATGTTGATGATTCCGATGCTTTAGAGGAGGGCAAAGATGTACTCTCAACAAGAAATTCGCAGCTCAGCGAGAGTGACTTGGATGAGGAGATTGCGCAGCTTCTTGTTGAGCAGCAGCAGCAGCGAAGAAAGCTTGCGAAACCTGCTAGCACGAATGGCCACAACGGGGACGACTTGTGGCGTTACGCACTCGGAAAGGGTGATGGCGACGGCAACGACGAAAACGGTGATGCTGACGTGGACGGCGAGGGGGATGATGACGAAGATAGCAACAGTGATTTGGCACGTATCCGTCGTAGGCATGCTCGGGCGATGGCAGGGGCCGATGATGATGATGATAACGAGGAGGAGGAGGAGGACGAGCGCGCCGTCGAGGAGTTGGCAGCAATGAAGGAAATGTACGGTGAGGACTTTGTTCCGGACGAAGATGATGATGACGGGGCCGAAGATGATGATGACGACCCGCATTTCGAAGAGGACCTTGCTTGGGATGACCCGACTGCCGTGTTCAAGGAGTCTGACGGGATGTACTTTGGAAACGAAGACATTCTCGCTGGTGACGGTGCGCAGGAAGAACACCAACAGCACGAAAGGGGGGATGCGGTTGGTGAGAATGACGACGATGATGCGGAGCTCAACGATCCTAGCCTGACGATGCTGCAGCGGGAGCGGCAGCGGGAGCGTCGTCTTGTGGAACGGCTGGAGCAGGAAAGGCTTTACAGCACGCAGTGGGCGATGAGCGGTGAGACGAGCGGGAACCAGCGACCGCGTGATGCGCTGCTTGACGAGGAGTTGGACTTTGAACACGCCATGAAGGCGGTGCCTGTCATCACGGAGGCAGTGACGGCCAAACTAGAGGACCGCATTCGCCGCCGCATCCTTTGCGCCAACTACGACGATGTACAGCGCCGCACTTCCCTCTCGGCGCCGGGAGATTTGGTCACGACGCGCCGCGACGCAACAATCGACTCGGAGAAGTCCAAGCTGTCGCTGATGGACCTGTACGAGAAGGAGTACCTGGAGCGTGCGCGGGCGTTGGAGGAGGCAAGCGGTGATGCTGCGCAGAGTGCGGAGCCACTGACGGAGATTGAGAGGGACGAGCTGCGGGCAATTCAAATGTGGCGCCGGCTCGCCCAGCACCTCGACGCCCTCAGCAACTTCTACTACACACCAAAGCCGATACAAGAGGAGTTGGCGGCCCGCGTGCGTGCAGTGGACGGCCAGGCCCCCGCCATCGCGTTGGAGACAGTCGGCAACTTTGCCACCACCCGCGAGGCCGCACTTGCGCCGCAGGATCTCTACCGCAGTGCCGACCGCAAGTACGCGGATGTGGGCATCAACGAATTGGTGCCGCGTGAGAGGCGGGCGCTGCGCCGTGCGAAGAAGGAGCAGGCGAAGGCGGCGAGTGATCGCAAGGAAAAACGTGCCGCGCAGGCAAAGAAGAAGAAACAGCAGTTGCCGGAGCCGCAGTAGCGGAGGGTGCATTGAATTGTGTGGGACTGCCGAAGACAGGAGCGAAGAAAGAAAAAAGAAGGAGACAAACACGTTTCTGCGCTGGACTCATCTCGAAACGGCTAACATGACAATACATACGCATATATATTTATGCACCCTGAAATAATAATAAAAAAGGGAAAACCTGCAGATGATGGGAGAAAAGATTAAGCGAGAGAAAATTAAAGGGGGAGCGAAGAGAAGGCATCACGGCCGGAGGGACGGGGAGGGGGAGTTACAAACGGGAACAATGAGAAAACACGCAAGGGATTTGGTCGAGAAAGACGAAAATAAACGAGAAAAATGAGGGGAATACGAGTCTTTTTATTTGTTTTTTGTTGTTTGTTGGAATTTTTTGTTGCTTTGCCTCGTTGACCTTCTTTGCTCCCATTTTTTTTTTCTCTTATTTGCGCCACGACGAATTCTGGTGTTGTGAGGCAGAAAAACGGAAAACAGCGTGGCATCACTGTTCCCATGAGTGTTGCCTTGCGTGACTGCTCCTTGCAACTGCCCTGTGGCGTTGTGAGATATTTTGTTTGCTCCTTCTCTCTTTTTTTTTTTTTCCGCATGTATATTCGCGGAGTGGTTCCTGGTCACCAGCGGCAACAGCGCGGGAGCACGCAACGTCACTTGTCATCCACTCGCTCTCGCTTTTAGTGTACATTTCCCCTTTTCAGAGATGGCGGTGAGGCTGGTACCGCAGCTGCCTGTGCGGGTGCTGTCGCCGACGGAGTTTGCGACGCGACTGCGCAGGATCCGTGGAGACCAATCGACGTCGTGGGTGGCAGACAGTCACGCCGTGGTATCACGCGTGTTGGGCAGCTCGAATGACTCGCAGTTTGACGCTCCGGAATCTACGACTGCTGCAAGCCCATCGCCATTGCGTCAGAATGTGGAGTTTGTCATTGGTGAGTCACCGGCGCGGGATACTTCTGGTACCCCGTGGAGCCTTCCTGACAGCGACGTGCAGCTGCTGAGTCCTTGGAGCGGCAATCCATGTCCTTTATCGGCGAGTGGGGACAAAAAAAGGTCGGCATCGCCGGATCTCTTGCCCGCGGGAAATACGGTGACGTCCAAGGCGAAGAAGGCGAAGAAGCCAACGACAGCAGGCAACAAACGGAGACGCACCATCGAAGAATTTTTCTCACGTCAGAGATGACATCTCCGTTTTTTTTTTTTTTGTAACTTTTCTAGAGTGTTGGGGATCCGTCTGCATGATGTGGCGTTGTGTGCGGGTTAAAGCGTGGTCACTGTACAGTACTGTGAGCGAGGCTCGGTGTTGCATCCACATGGAGGCCTCAAAAAGAGAAAAAAACCATATGTAATTTACCAGTTGGATGATGATGATGATTTTTTTTTTTTAGGAGCGGCGTGTCTTTACGGCAATAGGCACGACTTCTTCTTGTTACTGTTGTTTTTCTTTCTGCGTTTGTGCAAGCAGACGCTGCCACACGCACCGCCTTCTTGTTTCTCACTAAATCAAAAGGAAAGAGACAGAGATTAGCAACAATTATTTGGTACACACGCACACGCCAGCCTGCAGCTGTAGGCCGACCCAGAAGATTAAAAAAAGAAAATAAATAAATAGCAAAAGAGCTGAAAATGCCCTCTTTTAATTTTCATCCCGGATTTGCCGGTCACGGCATGCGGTGCAATCCATGGCAGCCAACGCAGTACATTCTCACGGCGGCCGAGCACTTTGGTGTGGTAGGGTCAGGGAAAGTATATATTGTAAACACGGCGCCGGGGGTGCCACCGGGGTCTCCTGTTTCTCTTTTGGGATGTTGGGGAACGAGCGACGGAGCGTTTGATGCCTGCTTCAGCGAAGTTGACCAAAATATTGTGGCTGTAGCATGCGGTGATGGTGTGAAGCTATACAACGTACAGCAATCTTTAAATCTTGATGGTGCTCCACCTTTAGTGCACATTATGGAGCATCAAGGGGAGGTAGCGGGGGTGACGTGGAATCGTGATAACTTTCTTTCGTGCAGCTGGGATGGATCTGTGAAGATTTACCAGGCAGCGAACCCGAATGCGTCTTGCATGACATTTCAAGAACATATGAAAGAGGTGTATGAGGTTGCCTGCTCCACACGTAATCCCGCATCATTTTTGTCATGCTCTGGAGACGGTACCTGGAAGCTGTGGGACGCACGGACACCGCGCTCCGTATTGACTCAGGTTGGGCACAACCATCAGATTGTTCTCAGCATTGATTGGAATAAGTACGACGGGTGCCTTTTTGCTTCTGGTGGTGTGGACCGTACAGTGCGGCTATGGGACCTTCGCCGGCCAACGCAGCCCCTTGCTTCACTTCCCGGACATGAGAACGCCTGCCGCCGTGTGCGCTTCTCACCTCACTCACGCGTGCTGCTGGCATCAGCTGGCTATGACTGCCGAGTCTGTATCTGGGACCTCAACCAACCACAGCGTCCCCTTGTTGGTCGCTACGCCCATCATCGCGAGTTTGTCGTTGGGCTTGATTGGTCGCTGGCCGTGCCCAACGCGCTTGCTTCCGCGTCTTGGGACGGACGGGTTTTCTTCTGGGTGAGCGGGCAGCAGGTAACGCCGTCACCGCCATTGCCACAACTCCCTGCCGCTGTGCCGCCGCCACGAGTTCGGGTGCCACGGAATAAAGTGCTCCCGGGACTTCCGCCTGCGCCCCCTGCCATCCCCGTTCAGCAGTAGGCGTGGGGGGCCAACATAATCGCATGGCGTGGACGCGGGGAAGTAGGGGAGGAACTACGGCTAAGCAGTAAATTTCATCGTGTGCGTGTGTGTTTACACGGTGTGGGTACTTTTTCCTGTCTGAATGGGCCCGTTTTTCATGAGGGGAAAAAGAAACAGGGAACGCCGAGAACCGCTTTTTTGTGTGGGCTGGAATTCTGTGGTTCCACCGCGCGCGATTTCACATTTGGTGTTGCATCATCAAATATTATTCAATTTTTTTTTTTTCTCTTCCCGCATGTCCGTTGTGTATGTTTGCTCTTTTTGAGTGTGCCAGATTGGGGGTAATAGGACGCGAAGAAACAGACCCAAGTAAACTCAGTTACATCTTCACAGAGACGAATAAAACAGAAAAAACAACGGAAGAGGGGTCCGAAGATGCCGTCAACCATTCGTCGTAAATGGCTCGCAACAGCATTGGTCTTCAGTGTGCAGGATCGTCGCAATCGTGCTCGCGCGTTACGAGAGGTACGTGAGAGGAAAGCCGCTCTCCTGGCCCTTAGTACGAATGATGTTGCGCAGCGCCTGCGGGCCATGCGTCCACCGGATGACATCATGGACAGCCGCGGCGACGGCATCGGGGAGAAGACACAAAAAGCCGGACAGAACTCGAAATTCACGACATCCGATGACGCGGCTACGCCTTTTCGCCCTCCCATGTCGTACGAGCAATGGCAGGAGCAGGGCTTTCCAGTAGGATGCTGGAGACCCCTGCTTTTGACCGAGTTGTACCACCCACTGGAAGCGGAGAAGAACTACTTGGGGAAAAAGTACAGCTTGGCCCCGAAGGACACAGAAAGGCGTGGCACTGCGGCATCCAGGAAGAGACGCTAAGCGAAGGGTGGGGAGGAGTTGTTTCAGTGGAGTTCGCTTTTCGTGTGCTCATGGAAAAACAAAACAAAAAAACAACAACAACAAAAGCTCGCTTTCCAATGTCGGTGCTTGGGCGCCTCTCCCCACAAATGTATATTTCCACACCTCCTTCATGGTGCATTCACAATATATCTTTTTTTATTGTTAAATGTGCGTGGATGCTTTTATATTATCCGACAAGTAGTTTGGCAACGAAAAAGAGTGTATGATTTGAGCGTCTTTTTGCTTTTGAAGAGGGGGAAGGGTGTCTGATGGGACGCAACCTTCAGGAGCGAAGCTTTTTTTCTTTGCATTTTGCGTTATGTTTTTTTTTTTTTTACTTGCGTGCGTGGGGGTGTGCCTCCGTTGCTGCCGTACCCTTTGGAATCTTTCTTTCCACCCCTTTTCCCCGTGTCACGAAACGCGATGGCTGCACGATATACATACATATATGCATGCTGATATGCACGGCAAACTCTTGCTTTTACGGGTTCTCATTGTGCGCTTATTATTTTTTATTTTATTTTTGCGGGCTGCTGCGTCATGTAATTGTACCTTCCCCCTACACACAGAAAAGACACGAATAGACTGCATTACACCACGCATGCCAGAGGGACCACGTGTGTTGCTGCTTGGCGGCCTGGGCATGATTGGCCGTAATTTCCTCAAGTACATTGCCGATCACGAGCTTGCGTCATATGTTTGTGTTGCGGACAAAAAAGTTCCAGAGATGTGTTTCCTCACGCAAGTTTACAAGGATCTTTTAGCACTTCCATACGTTGAGGTTGTCCAGGTTGATTTGTCCCAAAAGGAACATGTTGATCGTGTCTTTGCTGGGGAGCCATTTAGTATCATCGTTAACCTTGCCAGTGAAACACGGTATGGGCATTTGGACGTTATGTACGAGCGAAGTATCCTGCAGTTACGGACTCTTTGCGCGCAGAAAGCTGCCAGAAAAGGCGGATGCCAGCGCTACGTGGAGGTGAGCACTGCCCAGGTATATGAGTCAAACAACAAATCTCCGTCAAAGGAGACAGGCACTCGATTGAAGCCCTGGACAAAAATGGCGAAGTACCACCTTGAGGCAGAAGGAGCCGTTTCATCCATCTCGCAGCTCCCATGGGTGATTGTGCGGCTCCCAATCGTTTATGGACCAGGAGATATTTGTGGTCTTATGCCGCGCATTGTTTGTGCCGCGGTGTACGAAAAATCAGGGACTTGCATGGAGTTCTTATGGGGAAAAGACCTACGAATACATACGGTGCACGTGCAAGATGTTGTTGCAGCTATGTGGCATATTGTGTGTGCCGGTGCCATTCACGAGGTTTATAACGTCGTGGATGATGGTGACACAACACAAGGGAGCCTGAACGCCGTTCTGGAGTCCATGTTTAAAGTAAAGACGGGATATTTTGGGGCTTTGATGTCCAATTTGGCATCCCTCAAATTGGAGGAACTTGTGGAGGAGGCGAACGACGGTCATATGGAACCGTGGACGAAGATGCTAAGGGAGCATGGCATCAGCGTCACTCCTCTCTCTCCGTACCTGGAGCCCGAGCTTCTGTACGATAACCCACTGGCCGTCGATGGGTCGAAATTACGGGCGCTCGGGTTTCGGTGCAGCTGTCCGAAGGTGACGAGGGAATTGCTCGATGACAGCTTAGACTACTGGGTCTCCCTTGGGCTTTTTCCCAGGTGACGGTTGCGGTTTTTTCTCCAGCGTGGTGGAAGAGCGAGAAGGGAAGCGGGGTGGGGGAGAGACAGCACCCACCCAAGAAAAAAACTCACTTGTCAACTATTCAATATCGATGATCATAACTGAAAATGACAAGAAACAACAAAAGATCAAGCGGTTTTTTTTTTATTCAATGAAGTCTTGTTTGTCACGGATGGCTGGCAGTGTGTAATCCGTTGAACCTTTTTTATTTTTTATTTTTTATTGCTCTGCCTCCTTTTTTTTTTGGGGGGAGGGGGGGGGGGAGTTCACAAACACAGTTGTATATATATATACATATATCCAACAGCGTGGAAGATGTTGTGCCTAACGCGTCTGCGAGCCAACGTCAACAAGGTCGCCTTCATGGAAATGGTGAAGGATCTTCGCTTTCGCACTGAGGCTCCGATCGCGGAGTGCGGCGCCGCCTTAAAGGAGACCCACGGCGACGTGGAGAAGGCCATGGAGGTGCTACGCAAGAAGGGAGCGGCAAGGGCGATGAAAAAACGGTCGCGGGTGACGGAGCATGGCTCTGTCGTCGCCTGCGTTGGGGGCCTATTCGGTGCGGCGGTCATTACTGTTTGCAGCGAGACGGATTTTGCTGCACGTAGCGCCCAGTTCCAGAACACCTGTGCCAGGGTGAAAGATGCACTGCAAAGGAAGATCATTGACAGCAAAGGTGATGTCCTCACAAATCCCATGGAAGCGCATCGCTCCCTTGTGGAAGCGACAGCGGAGGACATTCGATCTTCTATCGCCGTCTTGGGCGAAAATGTTACAATCAAGTCGGTGGAGTCGCTTAGACTGGCGCCGCATGTGGCAGAGCACATATCCATCGGTTCTTACACCCATGGGTCGTTGGATGTGCCGGATGTTGGCCGGATCGCCGGAGTTGTCGCCGTAAGCCGCCTCGACCCCACGAGGGAAGTGCAGGCGAGTACGCTTACGGATGTTGCAAGGCACTTTGTGGCCTCTAGTGGTGCAGAGGGGAACTACGCCCACCAAAATTTCTTTGGAACGGAGGAGACAGTGGGACAATGGCTGAAACACCATGGTCTTTGCTTTAGCAGTAGCCTGGTGGTGGATTTTGGCAAGGAGCCGATAACACACACAGCTTCCCAGCCACGCAACGCCGTCAAGCATCCTGAAGGTTGAAATAGCGACATCTTTGTTACATACATACATACAAACGTTACATGGCAAAATTTTGTTTATGAGAGGAGACAAGAGGAGGAGGAGTGAGGGAGAGGGAGAGACGGGGAGTGGTTACTTTTTGAGTTCAAGAATTAGTGATGGGGATGGTTATGCTTTTCTTCAAACATTAACTCCAGGACGTGGAGGGTAATGCCTCCCTTTTAAAAATGCACTTCCTTTCAGAGACTAGGAAGTAGACGCAACGGCTGGATTGGGATTCACGGGGAATGTCAATTATGTCTCGTTTCTTTTTCTTTCCTTTCTCTGCCCTGTTGATCCAGAAGTGCAATAAATCTCTGTGTAATGTGTGCGAATGAGACCGCGAAGGACGGTGAATCAAATCTATGCTCGCAAATGGGAAAAGAGGCGGGGTGATGTCGGCTCCCTCCCCTCCTCTTTGGTTCACACGGATAAATTATGCGGGCCCACGTGGTATCATCTTTGGGAAGCGTTTGTGCGACTTTTACCAGCAGCATGATCCCTCTGCCGTGTCCGACTGTCACACACGGCTGCGGTAATATTCAGGGCGGTTGGGAGGGGAAGCTGTTCCACAAAGCAGGTGATGTGTTGCGTCGTCAAGGGGCACCGTCGTTGCGTGCCGCTGCCCCATGACTCGTCGATTTTCTCTCGATTGGCAGCTGCATTGGAACTGACGCGAGGGAAAGATCCGAATTTCGTGACGCAACGACTGCTGCACGAGGTGTTTTTTGGGTGGTCGGGAAGCCGCCGGTTGTCGAATCTGTCGCGGGGCACATCTCCGCGGTTCACTTGTCTCCGGTGGCGTTCACGTCGCTAGCGGCAATGCGAATGGTGGGGGGTGATGTGCATCCCTGCATGAAGCTTGTTTAAAGGGCGGGACAAGAAACTCGTCGCTTTTTTTTTCCGCTTTTTTTCTTTTAGTCGGCCGCTCCCACAGGGAACGGGGCCGGAGGGGAATAAAGGCACACAAACAAGGGAATAAGAATTGGCGGGAGCAACAAAGCGACAGCGTGTGGGATTTGTTTGCATGCGGACGGCGTGGCTTTTCGACAACGATGATCGCAGCCCCTGACATTCAACTCGTTCGCCGTGAGGTTACGACGGTAGCATCGCGATCTCCGAGGTGCATGGTTGTGTATCCACTTGGAAAGAAGAGCAGGCAGCGAATAGGGGTTGCGGATAAAAATGGCATCATGTCCGTCTTTTCACTGCGAAAGGCGATGGAGCGCGTGGCGGTCTTTGAAACCCCACCTCAGAACAGGCCTGTGAGCTGCGCGACTATCTATGAGGACCAACTATTTTTTGTTCATGGCAGCACGCTCGAGGCGTACTCGCGGAAGGGTAGGCGCTTTTTCTCGTTTGACACCAACGTGACGGATGTCATCCACACCCTTTTTGTTTCCACTCCATTCATTATTTGCTGCGGCAACTTTATGGCGACTGGGTTTAGGGAGGCGAGTGAGCTCGGTTTCTACATGGCACCAGACAGAATTAATGCCATGGCGGTTTTTGCTGTCTCTTCCGTCGCGAATCTGGAGGAACGCAATTTTGATGATTATCGGTGTATTCTTGGCTGCAATGACCGTACTGTTCGTATGCTGCGGAGTCATAAATCCATAGATGACATTCGTTGTGAGGCTCCCGTGACGTCTTTAGGTGTCAGTGATGGGACGCGCAGGGTGTACTACGGGACAAGCGCAGGGTCGTTGGGTTGTCTGGATATTGGGAGCGGCGACTCTTTCCTCTCACGGGTTTTTAGTTTTGTTCCCGATGACCACCAGGCAGCCGTAACCGCCCTTGCTGTGTATGATATCAACATGGACGAGAGAGAGGAGCTGCTGGTGGGTCGTCAGGACGGCTCGGTGCAGATTTTTTACGTTTATGCGGAGGAGGGGGCTGATAGCGGTCATCCCGTTTGCATGTGGTCGGGGAACACGGATGAGAGCGTCCTGTCCATGGCTGCTGGCTTCATTACAGATTCTCGCCGCCCAGGCGTGCTGGTACATTCCTTCAGTGGCAGGATCACAACCTTCACACTAAAGGAAGAGGAGCATGCTGCACCGAAGGAGATGGAGGCTGTCGACGCCGTGTTAGAGTGCACAGATGCCCAAATCAACGAAGCCCGCGAGGAAATTGAAGGCCTTAAGCGGTCAATTGAGGCCAGAACGCGGGAGCTGGCGGCATACAGAGGGGTGAAGAAAGGCGACACACCATTGCTTGCCGTTTCTTCCACCTTCAAGACCAGGGTGACGCTATCGCAACAAAAAGACAGCCCTGCACTGCGACTTATAGTAGAGGTTGATACTCCGCTGGACTGCGTGGTGCTCCAGAGTGAGTTGCATCTGCATTTTTTAGAGGAGTCTGCGGAGGTAATTGTGCAAGAGGAAATACCGCGGAATAATCCCTTGACTAAAACAATTGCCATTGTGCATCCCTTAGAGACACGGAATTACAGCTGCTCCGTTGCATTTTGGGTGGAGGATGGGCAGTGGGGACTGCTGAAGGTCACTGCATTGGCTGCTCCTGCCCCCCGCACCGCACAGGTGAAGATGGTGCAGTTACGACCACTGCCACTCTACGCTCGCGTGGGAAGAGTCGATAAGGCAGTGACGGAAGGAAATGCGTCCCCCGTGCTTTCTACAATGGAGGTGCGGGGAAATTTTAGCGCCAGAGACATGCATAGCTGGATATTCAGATTGCTGCCCGGAACCCCTGAGATGTACCAAGAAAAAATGTCTACTTTGAGCTACGAGGACACATTTTTCCAAAACCCTCTTGAGGTTAAGTACGGCGATGGAAGCGCATTGTTCACCACCGAATTGTTGCAGGTTTTGATGGTGACGGAACGGTTTATTCGTTACTGCGCCTCCGAACGCTCGCTAGAGGTGAGCTTCTCTGTGGGAATTCATAGCGAGGCGGTGCGCTCTAACCTTTCTCGCATTGTCCCACGCATAGCGGCGTGCAACAAGGGATTGACAAGCTTCCGTCTCCTTGAGGCCCTTCAGGAGCTGCAGGGTGGGCAACAAACGGATATGGTCTGTTTTCCCAAGGAGTACCAGCGGATACTCAGCCAGGCGGATGAGACGAAAAAAGAGCATGCACAGGCAATGGTCACAAGGGGGTATTTGCAGAAGGCGTTTGTGTCCCTCTGCAGCAGCGTGGTGGACATCGTGCCGAAGAAGCCCAAGATGAGTCTTGTTACAAAAGAGGCCTTGGCTGCTCTGACCGACTGCAGTGACGCCTCGGAGATGATGTCACGGCTAGATAGCCTCTTGCTTTGTGATGAGGGGGGGGAGGGCCTGAAAAGTACAGTTGACGAGGGAGGGGGGGATGACACACATAACGTGAGGGATAGAGATGGGGGGAGAGAATGAGAGAGAAGGGGGAAAAAAAAATGAAAAGTAAAGGAAACTGCCTGTTCTTTTTGTTTGATCGATGGATCGGTTGGATTGCAGGTGAGAATGAGAAGAGCAATAACAAAAAGAAAGGTTTTTCTAATCCTTATCGACGATATTTACATCATCGACACCATGCCGTTTCTTGCGCGGAGCGCATCTCTTGTCGTTTTTGGCCCTAAGGCTTTCTTACCCTTCTCTCTCCCTCTCTCTCTTTATTTTTGCGCGTGTGTCCGATATCACTACTTTCTTCGTCGGTTTTTGTTTTGTTTTTGCGGCTCTTTGTTGGTTTCACACCGTGTGCTTTGTCGAGGGAAGAAAATGGATCCACTGGAGGTTTCGCAGCCACGGCCGCCGCCGCCAGAAGAACAGCAACTTATTTCATTTTTACTGCATGCCCCCGTTCATCATGCCACGTTCTTTTCCTTGACGCTGGTCGAGGAGTTGCTGCGACACGCCCGCAGGGTGGATCAGGAGGTTAGTTTTTTGTCCCTGCCTTTACCACGGTCTCGTGAAAGCACGCGGGTGTTATCACGAATCGTGCAGGAGAATCGATACGAGGAGTATTGGCCCAATGAGCACCCGGCATTGGACGAGGCACGTCAAAGTGCCCCATCTGCCTCGTACCTTCTTCGCATTGGCGTTCTCCGCGCACTTGGGTTTAACACAACAGGAGTGGATGACTTTGTCGACGACGTTTCTCTTGCGCTGGGGAGACGCATTGTGTCAGCCGCGCCATTACCTGAGGACACCGCATCCGTGCCCCTCCGCTACCGGGAGGCGGCGCAGGAGGAGCTGCGGCATGTGGCGCTGGGTGAATGGTGTGAGGATCTCATTCACTTTACGGCCTATCGAGGGTTCTCGGCGGAACAGGTGCGGTGTGTGTTGCTCACAGCGATGCATCTCATGAATGTCGTGGCGGATCTTTCCCCTGACGCCACAGACGTGGAAGCGGAGAAACGGTGCACGCAGTTGTTGGAAGAACTGCTTATTGAGCAGGCCTGTGGGCTGCCAAGGAAAGTTGTGGAAACGCATAAGTCGTGGCGCACGGTGACGTCGGAAATACCCGACCCGGAGTTTGTGGCCGAAATGGAGACAGCAATTTCGCAGGAGAAGAACAAGAAGCGAAGGGCAGCACTAAAAGAAAAACTAGAAAATGCCCCAAGGATTAATTATACACGACAGGAACTACAAAAGGAGAGATTTTTGACGGAGATCGTGGTGGGTCCTTACTTTACGCTCCAAGAGGTAGCGCAGATACTCGATTATTTTTCCTCTTCAGTCGTTCGGCATTGGAGGCTGTTCCGCGCCTTTTTAGCGGAACCACAGCCCGTCGAGACACACGATGAGGTGCAGGTGCAGTGGGATATACACAGCTTTTGTGTGCCGCCGCTTGAGGAATTTGTGCGGGACGACATGTATGAAATAGAGCAGGAGCGACGTGACCTCATGAGCGCGTGCGAGGATGCGATTGAGAGCGCCTTTGAAGAGGAGTTCATACAGCCTCTCTTGGCGTTACAGCGAGAGAAGGATGAGTTGCTGGAGTGCTTAAAAGAAAGGGAGCGCCAGGCGGAGGAGGACAACATAAGAAACGCACTGGATGGCCCTGGCTACATGCAAGTGACCCGCGGCTTTATACTCCGCTTGAACAAATGCATCGAGCGGAACGAGAGGGTGGGAAAGCTTGAGTTGAATGAGAAGCCGCCAGACTCAACACCGCCGTCACCGGAGCCATTTTCCTCGCAAATGAGCCCATCTTTGTCTTTGGCAAACAAAAGTAGGAGGTCAGTTACAACACGCCAGGGCTTGGGTTTGGCTGGGGTGGCGGGAAACCACAAATTGGCCGCTGCGGCACCACCCTCGTCGCACAGTGAGAACCCGGCCGATGCGGTGTTTTCATTGGAGGAGGTGGAGGCACGCCTGGAAAAACTAGAAAATGCAATGCGAGAGACGAGGTGGTCCTCTCACGACAGGGGCAGGAAGAAGCAGGCGGGTGGGTGATTAGAATAGTGCTGACGGCGCTTCCATGGCGGGCATTTGCTGCGGTGATTGTGGCGCACTTTTAAAATTTTGTTTTGTTTTTTGGCAGACGTCAGAAAGGGGGCCGCGATGTTTTATTTATTCCTGCTCCCGTGTGGCACCCTTTTTCTCTTCTCTCTCTCTCTCTCTCTCGCCGCATGGGATGAGTACGGGGTGAGAAGATGCAATGTAAACCAACAACGCGAGTCATGTGGCTGCTCTCTACAGCTTTTTTAAATTATTGGTGTGTGTGTGCGCTCACTTTGTTATGCGCAGTGGGCAGTCAGTGCAGACGCACATGCACACAAACACTTTTACTCTCCTTTTTCCCTCCGTACTTCTTCTTTTGCTGTTGCCGTTGCGGCCCGAAGAAACCACCTTTGATACTCATTGCAATAAATGCGCCCGCGGCGGAAGGAGAGGAGAAAGGAAAACGAGGAGTGCGCGGTGGACGACGTTATGTGGTATCATCCTGCGCTTCTTTCTCTCGCTTTCTTTTTTTTTTTTGCTGTGGTCAAAAAACACATGCATGACCGTTTGTAATTCCCACCAAAATGCGAATTGAATCCGAAGAACAGCAGGATAAAATAGAGAAAAAGGGCGGGGAAGGGAGTCTATGTTGGCCTTCTACGCAAGGGCGCGGGGGGCACCCGCAGCTGCGTCTGCGGCCTTGCTGCTTCAGCGCCGTCGCGTAGAGTACTGGGGCTCGTCCGTGACAGGCCGCACACAACCGTTTGCGCAGGGTGACATGCTTCCACGCCTGGACAACACACGCAACGCCATCAATAAATCCTCCAGTGCAGCCGCAAGTATTACAGGGAATCATTTAGGCATTGCATATGATGGCAATAACATTTTTTCAGTGGAGGAATACAGCCGGCTGGAGAAGGAGCACTACCAACCCCTGCGGGGCGTCTCGCGTTACAAGGTGGAGCCCATCAATGAGGGTGATGGCCTGACGACACAACGGCTGATGCTGGAGCTGGAGGAGGACACCGTTGTCGGCATTGATGCCGCGTGGTGGGGTGCTGTTTTCAAGGACTTCCCATCTTTAAAGAAACCCTGCACAAGTGAGTTTAAGGCAGAGTTTGCGGATTTCTACAAACAGGCCTTGGGAGTGGCCCACGATGAGGCTGCAGTGACGGCTCTTGCGGTGCCTTTTGTGCGTCGCCAGATGCAGACGAAATTTATCAGCTTTCCGATGTTTTGGCGTATTGCGGAGAAGCTGGCAGACGCCCTGTTGACGGCAGCTGCAGGCCGTCGTCACGAAATGCGTGTCTCCCGCATAGCGGTAGAGCGTGTTACAAAGATTGCATTGAACACAATCGAGGATGAGCCATGGGCACACCAGGACACGACAAGTCCTTTGCTCTTTGATGTATCGAATTTCCGCGCGTGGCATGAGGCTGGCAACTGGTAGATTGAGGGAATATTTAAAAGTAGAAGCCCTTTATTTTTGGAAATAGGTGTCGTGTTGGTAGCGGGATTAGCAAAAGCAAAAAAGGGGATAGTCATAGCAATAGAAGAAATACTTGGGAGGGGAAGCTGTCGCATTTATGTGATCATATTCCCTTGGGGGTGGGGGGTTATTGGGTCTTTTGGGTCGAGAAGAGGAGCGATGCGCGCGGGACATGTCCTTTGGTGCAGTTCAAATTACGACAAGTGCGTTTGGAGTTTGAGTGGAGGGGAATGTGGCAGTAGACTGCACCACGGCGCTTCCATGCGCTGGAGTGGGGGATAAGCGAGTTGGGGTGGGTCCAGCTCTGTGTGTGTTTGTGTTTCGCAGCTTTTTTGTTTTTCTACCGGCAATGCGAAGGCAAGGAACGCCCTTGCGTGAGTTCTTTTGTAAATCACCACGCACTCACAGCAGACGGCAGAACGGAGATTACTTCTTGGGAGCGGAGAGGGAAGGTGTTTCTCCTCGTTCGTGCAGAGCCCTGCGTGGATGCAAACGGCAACAATCAACAGGAAAGATACATGTATGCTTTTGCAGGTGTACGCTGCAAATCTTTTCTTTTCAGTGTACATCCTCCTTTTTCTTTCTTTCCCCTGTTGCTGCTGATGGTTGTGATGTGTATGCGCACTTTTTTTTTATTTTTTATTTTGGCCATTATTTCATTTGCACACACACTCATTCTTTGAGTCCATTCCCTTAGATGGGAGGAGAAGGAGGAAAACGGGGCATATAAATCTGACGATGAATTCACGCGGAAAAGAGCCAATCGGTTTTCGTGGTGGCCGCGGTGCTTCTGGCGTCTCCGTCGCGGCACGTGGCTTTGGACGTAGCGGCGGCAACGGAGGTCGAGACTTTGCGCACGGGAGAGGCCGTGGCCGTGGCGGTCATTTACTGCGCGCGGGGGCAGAGCGCCCCGAGTCATCTGCCATGATGTCGCATGAAGATAGTGGCAGCGACGATGACGAGAAGGGAGTCATGCAGGGGGAGAATGTGCACTTGGCGACGGGGAAGTGCTCCACAGCACTCCACAAACAGCGTCATGTCAAGACAATGTTGACGGAGGAGGGCACAGAGCTCCCAAAGAAGCTCAACAACAAGGTGTTTATTGATGGTCTGCCCTACGAGCATAAAGCGACGCCGGGATCCTCCACTCTTGAGGAGGAGTTGATGCAGTTTGTTGCGGCATGGAAGGTTGGCAAACCCGTTCGTCTCATCAAGCGGGAAGGCCAGGGGTTTGGTTTCTTGGTTTTTCACTCTCCGCACAGCGTTGATGTGGCGGTGCGTGTGCTGAATGGAAGGAAATTTCTGGGTCGCAAGCTGCGGGTGGAGGTGCCGAAGCCAAAGGACATGACAACAAACGACGTGGACATCGGCCTAGATGCGGGGAAGAGTAGTTTTGCCCGCCAGGTCCTTTTGTCCGACCTGGCGAAGATAACACAGCCAGAAATTGTTCGCGAGATCCTGCGAGATGTGGCGCCCCAGCTGGAGAAGCGGCTTGAATCCATCAAGATGACCTCAAGGAATCGCAAGGCATTTTTGACATTTTTGTCTGCCGATGACGTGGAGCCGGCGGTACGGTTTCTCGATGGCTTCTCCATGTTGGGCCGCCGCATCACTGCCGCACGGGCTGCCGCGCCTGGCTCGCTGCCGTACACAAAATCTCCGGGCCACGTTTTATCGCACAAGAGGAGCGGTGCATCGGCAGATGAGGAAAGCCACGGTGAGGCCATGCACGCGGGAATTCTTCATGGTGATGCGGACGAAGAGGAGTGTGGGCAGCCAGTGCTGCCATTGGGGGTGGTGAATCCACCAGCAGCGCAACAGGAGGCGAGGCGTGCGGGGCGGAATGTGGCCAAAGAGCTGAAGCCAAGCAACATCACTGGCGTAACAGAGAAGTACAACTTGCTAGAGGAGGGGCCAGCGGAGGTGTTTGTCGGCACCTTGGTGAGGAGATCACCGAGGAGCAGCTCCGCTGTCACTTCAGTGTGTGCGGTAGGATATTGAGTTGTGATCTTCTCGTGAATAAAAGCACAAGTTTGCCCACGGGCATCGCGCGTATTCTCTTTGCTCTGCCCGCGTACGCTAGCTATGCACAGAAGCACCTTCATGGATCTTGTTTGCACGGCCACGTCATTCGTGTCGATCGTGGCGAAGAGCCGAGCGCGCCTCTGGCGTCGGATTTGGCGCCGCACGACGGTGAGGATGTGGTCGATGAGGATGGTTACATGGCGCACTACGGCGTGAAGGACAAGGCTGCCTATTTTAAGGGCACTTCGCTCGAGGAGAGGCGTGACGGTCGCAATAAGAGTAAGCGGGCGAGGGAGACAGCCGTTGACACCAAAAAAAAGAGAAGGAAGACGAAGGATGAAGCATTCAAATCATCAGGCTTCATTTCTGCTGGTGGCAATGATGATGATGATGAGGAGGAGGAGCGGTTTCATGATGTGGATAAAGTAATTGTGCCGGTGACCGCTTCATCTGGGCGACGGGAGCCGAAGAAACGATTGATTGCGGTGAATAGGCGGGCAAAACGGGTGAAGAAAGCGTTTGAGTGAACACCACATCTTTTGCCGACTGATGATTGCGTTGATTTTAGACCTGAATTAAAAACTAATAATAATAAAAAGGTGAAACGTGTAAATTAAAGACCTAAACACGAAGGGGCAACAAATTGCGCATATATACCATACGTGCATGCATGGAGCAATGTATGTGTACATCCACAGTGTGGTTCTCATGGATGAAATGCAAATGTTGCCTTTTTTTTTCTCTTTCCTTTTTTAGAAACCTTGCTACTGGAGAGGACAGGGAGGTGCGTTTTGTGGTAAATACATTGGATGAATGAATGCCGCCTGTGACAGGCCGTCCCATAGGCAAGACCCCGAGTCCACACCCCATCATTCGCCGTACCCGAAGCTGGCGTGGTATCATGCAGGTACGCTTCAACGACACGCGTGCAGATCGCAATAAAATAGTGAAAAATGCGCTTTTTTGGGCACCGATGAGAATATTTGGTATTGGGTTTCTCACGACGACTGCGATGTACTTCACCATAGGCCATGATCGCTTCATGCACACGCTGTTTGGCTATGAGTCGGAGATGCACTATGAGGCTCGTGTAAATCCCGACGCAAGCGTCGTCATTGGTGATACATTACTGGACAAAGATCGCGGCTGGAAGTCCCCACTGCGTGAATTGGAGATGCCACTGCATCCTAAGCGTCAGTTTGACGTGATGCGGGACCCCAATTCCACATGACCCTTCTCCGTTTATTGAGAGCGGCCTGCTGTTGGTAGAGTGTGTGTGGAAACTGGGCTGGTTGGATGGCGCAATGGTGGCGGTACCGATGAATTTTCTATTTGTTTCTATGCGTGGGTGTGTTTTACTTTTATTTTGGCGTGCTGCCGCCCACGTTATTCCAATTTTCTTTTTTTGTTTTTCTTCTCTCCTACATATGGAAAACGAAGAACACTTCTTTTTTTTTTCCGCATAGTAAGAGAATTGTTCATAGAGAAGGAAAAAGGC